AAATTGGAATAACTCAGTTGTAGTTGAACTCTCCTGTTTCCTGGTTGGCAGTATCAATAGTATATATGATTAGACTGGAACAATTTAAGCAGTATTTATTGTATACCTGCTATAGCCAGGTTCTGAGGCTACAGAGGTAAGTATGACATCTTATGGCGCCTCAGCAAGCTTGCAGCCTGGCTGGGGAGATTGACATCATAGCCAACTATGGTACAGTAGGAAAAGTGTGGTGCTGCTGACTGGGACAAAGTATTCTGGATCCACAAGGAGGGAATAGTTCTGCTTTTGTGGAGAGGAAGGAGGGATATCAAGAAAGTCTTAAGAGAAGAGATGAAATGTTAGAAGGCTATTTAAGGATGAGTAGAATTTTTAAAGGCAGAAAGAAGAAAAGTATTCCAGTTAAGGGGACAACAGGATCAAAGGCACAGAGCTGTGAAAGTGACTAGTTTTCTAGAACTTTAAAGAGGACCGTAATTACATACACAAGAAACAGGTCAAAATTTTTCATGTTAATATGGCTTGGCCATTATGCTTGTTCATTATGGTTCTGCAGTGACTAGTCAATCATTTCAACAGTTCTCATTTTGTAGTTCACAAGATCAAATTGTAAAGGGGAGGAGCTTCAGAAAGAAAAGGAAATGTAAAGAAGCATCTGGCTCTTAACATGGAGGGCCTCACAGAGGTCGTGTGGTTTCACTCTTTTGTGACAGGCTCTGGTGAAGGGGCACAGAAGACCCTGCCAAGTTTAGTGCCTGATTTCTGGATTTCTTCTCATAACTCTTTTGTCACCAACTTTAAAGAGTCTGATATTTTACCCCACTTGCAAGCTAACACTTAGCCTGTCACGAGGCCCTTGGATCAGAGACAAAGTCCTTTATTACTCATAGTACAGCAAGCGGCTCCAGCTTCATGATCCTGTGTTCCCCTCACCCCTTGTCCCCTGAGGGCGGGCGCTGCAGAGCGCAGCAGTGGGGTGATGACACAGCTGAGGAACCCAAGCCCCATTAGAGGCTGCAAGCAAACCCGCCCAGCCTTTGCTTTGGAGACGACTTTGGTCTTGTTATCCTGGACAGCAAACAAGTTGGCCCTCTGCTGCTTAGGGAAGCCATATCTCCATCTTCCCAGGCAGCTTGCCCTGGAACAAAAGCTGTCAGTGCCTCTGCTCACGAGGCATGCAGAATGCAAGAGACCCACAGAGACTTGCCTCCCAACAGGCTCCTTGGGTCTCTTTTGTCCTTTAAGGAGAACTGAAAATGATAGCCACCATTCTAGCAATTTCCTTCAGAAGAAGGAGCTCTATACAGTAAAACCCTGATACGAAATATAATATCAAAGCAGCATTCAATGTGAGATAAGTATTAAAGTAAGAGATTGAGTATTTCATCAGTCTGGAAGACCTTGACCTCTGGCAGCCAGCTTTTCTTCTTAGCTGTGGAAGAGGTGAAGTCTTCCAGGAAGTCCTCAGAGGCTCCAGTTGCTTCTTCCTGTGAAGAGGTACAGCCAGCTGGATGATAGAGTTTCTGCTTCAGCTGAATAATGCATTTGCCAGTACGTCTAGCCTGGTGACTCTAGAGGGAGATATTGCCAAGTCCAGTACATAAATCCCAGCATGTATGTGAGGAAGATAAATCAGCCTTCTTTCTCATAGTGAGGACTCAGACATATCACCAAATGGAGAGGGTTTTACTCATGGTTGCTCCAACCCGTGCCAGCTGCTGCAGAGGGGGCGATAACAAAAGCTGCAGGGGTAGCTGCCTCATTGATTAGAAGACATTAAACCCTCAGGGAGGAAATTGGAAGATCGGACAGGTCAGATGGGAGGAGAGGTCCCTAGATGCAAATTTGAACTTTATTGTGTTCCAGATAGTGGTGCTTCTCTCTCTTATCCTGAAGTCTGGGCAACTCAGACTGGTTTCCCTGGATACAGGAGCAGAGCCTTCCTTCTCAGTTGGAATGAAACGCTTCATGTTGGCAATGCTGAGATATTGGAGAAGGTAGTTGCAGAAAGGATGTGCTGTCCCTGGAGAGCATTACAGCTGCATTAAAGCACATATTCACAAAAGTTACATACCCTGGTTCACTAGCACATCTTTCATCTTATAGGGAACAGGTATGGGAAAGAAAACTTATTTATGTTAGGAGTATTTATGGAGGTACTAAGCATGAGGTTCAAGTCTGAAGGCCCTTCTCCCACGTACTCCACACATTGTTTAAGAATGTGTTTTTTCACTCTTTGATATGGCCTTAGTAAAGAGAACAGACAATCACTTGGGGAAACTGGGGTTAGATTTGGGTCTGAGTTTGAATTTATTGTGCACCATAAACTTTTAGAATCTAATTTAATTTCAGACATTATATTCAGCTTTCCAGAGACTCTCCTGCACATTTACTTGTGTGAATCTAGCCCTCCTTCTGCTTGTTTCTTAACTGACCATTGAACCTGATGTACACTTTCGCTGACTGACTCTTTTGCCAGAACTTTGCTGTCAGCATTCTTCCAAAATGAATCCTGCTGTGTACTTGAGGTGGTCCTCCTCCAAGAGGATGAGTGTGCTCAGCCTATTCTGATATGCACATGTGGTATATTAGTTCAGATAGAAAGAGTATGCTTGCTGAGTTGGGCAGAAGCATAATCAGACTCCCAAATGGATGATGTAGAATGCAAATATGGCAAATTGATGAATTTAATTTGAGTGGAAGAAGCAGGGAAAAAGCAAATGTTTTATTTAGATAAGTCATGTTAAGACAAACTTAGTTTATTGTCTTTGAATGAACCAAACTTTTCTGTATTTGTTTACGTAGATCATTGTCACCAGTACCTAGAAATACTGAACACTACAAGCAAAGACATGAGCGTTATGGCTATGAATATAGGAAGGATCCAAAAAGACCCATCACTTGGAGAATGGACAATGAGAAACATGGACAGAGTAAACCAAGAATTCCTTCTCGTGAAAATATACATTACCGATCTTATGAACATAGATCACCTTCCCCAAACATAAGAAGAAACTCTTTAGAAAATTTTTATACTTATAGGCCTCACCAAGTATATTTACCAGGAAGAGGGGATAACAACAGAAGATCTCAGTATATGTCCAAGTACTCAGAAGGTGTACTCTACAGTGAGCACCAGAGGAATTGTTATCCCCAGAAAGTACAAGGAAGGTATATTCCTGATGACCACAGAGTTAGAGGAGATGGAAAAGGAGGGAAACCATCTCCAAGGTCAATAGCAGATTCTTTTAGATTTGAAGAACAGTGGCATGAAGACGAATTGAGGCACCAGAGGATACAAGATGAAAAATATTCTCAGTCACTTAGAAGAGGCTCTGAAGATTTTGAGAAAAGGAGCTCTTTTCAGAAGAGGTATAGGAAAACATTAAACTGGGGTAATTTGGTATAAAGCCTCAAGTGAGAAAGTGTGTTTACTTTTTTAGTTGAAGATAACCACCTTGAAAAGCTTTTGTCTAAAAAGATAAAAAGCATTGTAATGTAGTTATGGTCTAGTGGTAGTAGTGAAGTATTTATTTTTAGAGTAAATCATGTTGATGGCTAGAATAGTAAAAAAAAAAATAGTATTTTCCTCTTTAACTACCCTATGCATCTATGAGTTGAGGGTGGGTTAACTTGCCACTGCATTCTGCATTTAAAGCCATGCTGCCCAATATCCCACACATAAATTCTCACTTTCTTCTCTCTAGTGCAAGTGTAAACTGCTTTATGTCAATACAGGTATCCTGAGGATCGTGATTTCAGAAAATATGGACACACATCAAACAGACCTAAAGACGTGGAGAGGTACGAAAACAGAGAGCCTGCCAGGAGCCTACAGTGGAAGTCCAGGCATCTTCCTCCACCTTACCAAGAGAAGAAAGATCTGCGGAACCTTGGACCCCAGGCTCATCGACACGCTCCGAGAGAATTCCCAGAGACCAGTTCGGCGGCCAAGATATCCTGTGACTATCGCCATAAACATCGCAAGACCTCAGATGGAGACCAGGATTTTTCTGATGGAAGAATTCAGAAGTACTCTAAGGAGGAAGACAGAAAATTCAGTTCTCAAAAAGGCCCTGTGAATAGAGAGTCCAGTTGTTTTAATGCTGGAAGAGGGAGAGAGACTGAAAGTGGGCAAGTCAAAGAACCTTTTAAACCATCCAAGAAAGACTGCACTGCCTGTACTCGTTCAGATAAATGCGATGTTGGTTTCAGACCCTGTAATGACAAACGGAAGGACAAAATAAAGAAAGAAGGGGCTGGCAGAAAAGACGGCAACTCTCCTCGTAACCAACCCGATGAAAGTAAAAAACTTTCCAACATGAAATCTTCACCTGCCATTCTTAGGAAGAAATCACTTACAGTTAAAGTAGATGTGAAGAAAACTGTGAGTGCATCCAGGTATTATCTTTGTTTTTTCTTAAGGATGTGTAATAACTGTTTCTGCCATCTTTATTTGAAGCTTTGAAAACAGAATTAATCGTATGTTTAGCGTCCATCAAGCAGGGAAGAATTGCCTGGGTTTTTTTTTTTTTAAAAAAGCCCTATAATGATGAATCCCACGATTAGTAATAGGGGGTGATCTCATGTGCTTGTTTCCACGTTATATCCCAAGATGCTTTCTGGGTGCGGGGCATTCTGTGGAGTTGTTCCTCTTCATGAATTTACATGTCTTTATGCTGCTAGATTTTCTATATCCAGGGATAGGCTGGGTGGAGTTCAAGGAGACCTATTCCTTGCTCAGTTTTTCAGAACCTCTTTTCCCTGTTGCCTGAAATTCAGAGAATTTTGACCTGGAAGGGACCTTAGCAGGTCCCTGATTTTATAGAGGAGAGGCTGTAAGAAATGAAGTGACCAGTCTTGAGTCAGTGCCTGGGGCTCAGATCCACTTGTCCCCTTGTGACTCAAGGAGGTGGATGACTTAACGTGGTTTTTGTTGCCATCTCAAAGGGACTGACACTCAGTTGACTAGCTCCTCCTAAGTTGAGGAAATTAGGCTAGAGGCCTATTTTTAAGACATTTGGTTTAGCTCTTAATGATTCTTTAAAAAAAATAGATTGCTGTCATAATAGGCTATATTCTCCTAAAGTAGATTGCATGTTTTGTTCTATTATGAATATTACCTCTGTTTATGGGTTCTGAGAATAGTAAGGCACTGACACTTGGGTGTGTCAGCTAAGTCTGTTCATTACTGTAATACACCACCAGTATGTGGATTAAAAAGTGATGGACTATGTTGATTTGGTGCACTTATGGTCACAGTTGACTCATATCTGTATTTGAATCAAAAATAGGAGGAAACAAAATCCAAGGTTAGGATGTGATGGGGAGGCAGATAAACCCACAGTCTTTTTAAATTTTTTTAAACAAAATATATTTTATTCCTTTCCTTAAAGTTAGATATGGCAGTCCCCCTCCCTGATATTTTTCTTACATTCATTGTACTTGCAAGAAATACTTTAAAATATACATGTGTATATTTACATGTGCATAGAAAGAATTTATAATATGATTACGTTACAGAAAGTGCACAGATAGAGGGGTGGGGGAAATCACCCATGATCCTAATACCTTGGGACAGTTGTATCAATATTTCAGTACAGCTCCTTTTATTTTTCTGTGTATATATGGTTGTCGTAGTACTCTACTAATAATTTTGTATTCTATTTCATATAGTATGTCTTAAATCATTTTGTGCTATTATATGTCCTACTAGTTCTTAATTTTAAGAGTGCAAATGCTGCTGTAAGGATCAAGTTTAAGGATGCTACCTTAAGCTTTTTTCTTTCCAACTTTATATTATGAAAATGCTCAAACTTACAGAAAAGTTGAAAGTTGTACAGTGAACACCTATATACCTAGAGTCTACAATTAATATTTTATTCTACTTTTATAATCACATATCTGTTCATCTGTCATTACATCTAATTTTTTTCAATGCATTTCAAAGTGAATTGCAGATATGAGTACATTCCCCTTCAAATACTTCAGTATTTAATTTTTGTTTATAGTTTTTTCTTTTGAAGTAAAATTGCAATCATATCACAAAAATCTTGGATATTTAAATGAAAGTAATACTACTCCCATATTTAGTAAAGAAGAGTTTTATACTTAAAAGAGAATTAATAAGTTGGCTGTAGCACTTTTATAGAATGCTAGAAACACCAATTTTGAAGGATTTTATTTTGATAGACCTCATTAGAGATGCTGAACACAGTTAATTTTATGATTTGATACTGAGAAATGGAAGTTTGATCTTCATCATGTGTCACAAAAGTAAGCTCCCTGAAATTGAGGCTGCTGTACCTTTTTGTTTTGAATTTATGAACTGTACATTGGTGAATTTCATGACCGATCTGTGGGACCTGTTAGCACATGTTTGAGTTACCTGACAAAGACCTGTAGAACGACTTGTATAATAAAGAGCTTCCACTGCCAATCCCTTCTGTTTAGTCTTAAAGAATAAATAACAATAGATACATGCACCTTCTCAGTGTGATAATGTATCATAGTCCACAATATCTTTCTTGCTGATTATAATTATTAATTGGTTAATGAGCTGTGGAAGGGTTTTGTGGGGTTGGATTTAGTTATGTGTGAACTGATGAAGTGTCCATAAAACAAAGGTTGTTAATACCCTCAATAGAGCCATGTTCTCAACTACTAACATAAATTAGATTTCCTCTGCTTGACGAGATTAAAATAATCATAGACTTCAGAGAGGTTTATTTGTTGGTTAAAATCTACAGAGTTTATCCACTTTTTTGGAAAGGCTAAAGTGTTTCATTTTATGCATTTGTTTACATTAGCTTTGGTCAGGTGTTGATATGTTCTTCCAGTTATCAGCAGAATTGGAATATATGGCTATCACCTAGTGATTTTTCTAGATTACAGTTTGTATCTAGAACAGCAGTAAGTAGACACTTACTTGAATGTTCACTGCATCGTTAATACTTCTGTTAACAAAGATGATACTCTAGTGACCCCCTTTGTCCGAAACTGCATTAGCAGAGACAGAAGTTATATCTGAGTCATAATTATGTTTCAGAATGTAAGTTCGGGAGTCACAATGTGAAAATTTGTACTAGGGTGGTTATGAACCCCAAACACTAACTGTTGTATACATCTGGAAGTCTTGGGGCAGCTGAAGGGAGTTTGGGTTTAATGTTGGGCTGAGTGGGTGAGAGACTGAACCCTGGTCAGGCTAGGAAGGAAGTGAGAGGGAGGAGGAGGGCATACCAGTCTCCGGAGAAGAGTAAACTGGTGTGGGTGGACCCAACGCTCATTTGACTTCCCAGGTGCTGGTACTAGGCATCTAGGATGAGAAGCTGGGCTAATGAAGTTGATATGAGACTGAGTGCATCAGCCACATTTGCATGTAATCCTTTTATTTCCCACTGAAGAGATGCACAGAGAGCCTCCTTACCCCCATCAGGCCTTTTCCCATTCTGAAAGGGGAATGAGCTGGGTGATGAGCCCCAGGAGACATTGGAGCACTGATGCTCTGAAGAAAGAGATGCTGCGTAGGCCGGAGAACAGTGTGAAAAACCATAGTGAGGATTGAAGGAAGGTAACCTAATCACACAAGTTTACATATGATAGGCACTGATCAGCTGAAGGCAAAATAAGGTGTGGGTGGAGGTATTTTTGTGATACACAAACCTGCTAACTTGCCGTTACGTATCACAAAAAACTAAGGGTTTTTTCCCCCTAATATTTCTCATATACATTTCTTAGATCAAAAATTGAGAGAAGGTTCTCTTTCATTCTTATTTTTCACCCTAGCTTCTCTTAGTGTCTTTTAGGGGTCCTGGTATAGGGAGGTGAGCATTCTGTTTGGTGTTGGGTTGCATAGGTTTTTGTCTTCTGGTATTCACTGAGCAGCTCTATGACATTGGGCAGATCAACCTCTTGGAGCCCAAATTAACCCGTAGTTCCTCTGGGCTCTATGAGTCTGCTTTAGTTGATCATGTGTTGATAACTTAAAGCTGGCTTGACAGGCTCATCATAGGAGTCTCTGAACTTTTGTATATAGTTGAGATTTTTTTATCATGAAAAATGAAAAAAAATTTAATTTGGTCTAAATTAAGTAAAAATTTAAAAATAAAAAGTAAGCCAAGAAAGTTAAAAAACAAAATTAAATTAACCTCAATTAGAGTTCTGAAGTCTGTCATCTTTTTAGCTGAAATTCTCCTTTTCATATTATCCAAGTCATTTTCATTTGTCATTCAGCAGGTGTTTTTTGAGGACCTGCCCTGTGGGACAGTCTGTTAGGGTGCCTTGGGACTATAAATGGGCATGGGATTCAGCTTCTTCTCCTCTGGTCTTATAGATGATAGCATGACATTGGTAATACCATGGCCCAGTGCAGGAATACATGAGGTGGTGCACAACTCAGATGATCCCAAGCTGGGGGATTTGGGGAAGGCAGGACTTCTTTCAGGAGTTGGCATGTGAGCTAGGCTTTTGAAGGCTAGTATGTTTTAGACACGTGGAGATGAGGTGAAAGATATTCTATGTTTATAGGTTAACAAAGGCAGAAAACACACCCAGGAACTTTGAGCTGTGCGGTTCTGAGCAGTTGGTGAAATGCAGTAGAAGGGCAGGAGGCTGTGAAGGTTAAGACTGCCACACTGGCAGCCTGGTGTTACAGGATAAGCTGATGGAGAGGGTGGGTGGCCCAGTTCTGGCTGCCAGAGGACTGCCTGCCTTCTGTGAGGTGACTTGGAAGGGTGTTGGGGTTGACAAGGCCAGTTAGGGGACTTTTGAGAAAAAAGTAATGAAATGTTGAATTAAGTGGGCAGCCGTCTCCCTAATTCTTTCCCCTCAACTCCAGAAATTCTAAATGTGTTCTTAGGAAGACAGGAGCAAACTAATGATTGGGAAAGTGCTTTGTGAACTGTAGGGCGCTGTGCAAATTGTAGTTATTAGCTGGAAGAAAACTGAGAAAGGAAAACTTTGTGTGTGACATATGGATTTTGATATCTATTATAAGCTTCCATAGGGCAGGGGATTATCCACTGGTTTTGGTGGTTGAGTTTTTGTCACTGTTGTTTTGCCACGCAGTTGGTTCTGGGGATGGATCTTAATTGTGTATAAGAGGAAATTAAGGTTTAAGGTAGCTTTTTATGTTTTCTTAGTTATGCACAAGACTTAGGTGAATGTCAGGGAAAATATCCTTAAACAGAAAAGAAAAAATGGGGTGGAGTTGGAGGGAACAGAGAACCTGGAAGATTTAATCGGACCAGTGTTAGAAGTAGTATTAGTAGAATGCAGGTGTTTGGCTATATTTTAATTTTTAAAACTGTCTAAAATGCATCTCAAGTAAGAACATTTGGTCTTTTCAGCTTTAGTTTTGTTGGGGATGTTTCCTTAAATTGTTAACTTGTTGATCAGTAATGTCATAGGAAACAGTAAAAAGGAAAATATGAACCCAAGAGGTGATTAAATTTACAAATGTGAATACCTAGAACATTTTGTGTCCTGAAATCTCTAGAAAGTTTTCCTTATAGCAAAAGTATGATTATTTTTAAAAGGCTAAATTTCAAAAAAATTAAAAAAAAATTTTAAAAAGCTAAATTTCAGGTTATACTATTTTCAGTAAAATGACCATTTAAATATTTTTATTAAAAATCTTACAGTAGAGTGACTTTTAGGGTAAAGTTTTTTAACTGATAGCAGGTTTAAACACTAAAATCACAGGAATTAAGTATAGCTTCAAAGCATACCACAGCACTTATATGGATTGAGGGTTGAGCTTGGAGTGGGGATAAGAGTTATGCCAGTAATAATAAATTACTAGGAAATTTTAATAATTATCTGGTGAAAAATTGGAAGCCTTTTATCAGTTGGTTTTATCTTAGGAGAAACTGAGGCTGCAATAAAAAACATTATCAACTGATTCCCCCTTATGGTTAGACCATTTTTATGGTTCTATTTAAACACCTAATTTTTCTTCCTGTAAAATGTTTTTTTAAACTGTATTTTGGGTATGGGTAGGCTTTTTGTACCATTAAACCCCTTTGAACGGAGCATTTGTAATTCTTTGTTAGTGGAGATTGTTACAGGGCCATTCTAGCTTCTAGCGTTTATCACTCAACGTCTCTTAGTACTAGTTGTCAGATACACTGTGGGAAGCTTGGAGCAGGTTAGGAGGAAGGGAAATGAACCTTCTAATGAAAGTCCTTCTGATGAATTAAGGAAACCTCAGCAGTGGCCTCATCCTGCTGCATAATCACTCTTCCATGTTTCTGCCTTGGCAGGGAGTTGTCTCGAAGTGCTGGTTTGAGAGCACAGAGCATGGAAAGTCAGATAAAAGCCTTTCCTCTGATAAGTTAAAAATAGGTACTTCAAACGATCTTGTTAGAGAAGTTAAATTTTTTAGTTAAAAGAATATCTATAAGCCCCTCAACCCTGGAGCAGTTTTTGATATAAGGCTGTGAAGTGACTTAAATAAATAATTAAATATGTACATGTATACACCCACACCCCAGAATGTATCTGTCTAATTGATTTTTGTCATATGAAGAGGTATTCTTTTTCTACTGGTGCTATTTAAAACATTTCAGGCTCTCTTTGGGATTTATCCTCAGAGCCTATAACATAATCATAAAGAACCCTAGCAGTTGTAAATCTCAATTCGTTGGATGGTGAACTTGATTTTCGGAAAGAGCCAAAAGCTGTTTAGAGTTAAATGCAGAGGAGTAAGATGGGTGTAAGTGCCATTTGGGGTCCAAAATGAGGTATAAATATAAATAATGAGACATTTTCTTCTGGGATGCAAAAACTGCCTCCAGACGAAGAATTTGAGTAGTTTTAAGCAAAATTAGCATTCTTGGAATAAAGTATAGTTTCCCATTATGACATTTGGAACGATTATGTTCATATGAATGCTTAACCTCTGGGATGCAAAGTAAAACAACCAAGACGTACATTTTCTCGGTATCATGACCCTTCCCCATGGGGCCATTGCAAAGATTAAAGGAGATAATGTTTGTAAACTCTGAGCCCCGTTGTCTGGCATGGGTAAGCCCTGAATGTAGTTAGTTATATGTCATAATCGTGGCTTTGTAACGGTACTTAAAGGTCAGGAAAGCTCTTAATGAAAGTTGTAAAGATTCAGAAAGCATTAAAATGGTAAGATGGTTGGGATTATATAATAAATGGTAGTATTTCTTTAAGGATACATTTAGGGTAAACACTGTAATTGGTTCTAATGATCATAACTTTGCTAACAACTAAGAATATTTTCTGAGAGTTCAGTGAGACTTCGTAAGTGATTAAATTAATCTCAACAGAATTTGATTTCAAAATACTATTACAAGCTTCTCATTACTGACATAGAGGTATAAGGATTTTTATGAAGTCGGAGAAGTTATTATGTATGCTTGATATCAGCTTTTAAAGTATGGTAGTATTTCAAGATAGTGTAAACTTGCTGGCTTTACAATTTGATGGACATTTGGGAGTAGAAAATAATCTGACTATTTTTTGCATATTGAGTGTCTTTAATGCCTTACTGTATTTTTTGAAGCAAAAATTGTTTAACTTAGAATTTTGAGGATTTTATTATTAAAGTGACAAATATTTAATGATCTCTGATTTGGAAAGGAGAACTCAAAACCGTGTACCTATAGCTATTTTCTCCTACTCATTATTGTACATGTTTTATGGCATACAATTTAGTGCCTTAATTATAAGAAAAGATAAACATCTTTTTAGTTTTATAGCTATCTTGATTCATTTTAATAAGTTATTTTCTCAGTAAAATAGTTTCAAATTTAGTTAAACATTTACAAATTATTCTAGGGTTGCTTCTAGCTATTCCACAGAGAGACAGATGTCACATGATTTGGTTGCTGTTGGCAGGAAAAGTGAAAACTTTCATCCAGTGTTTGAACATCTTGACTCAACTCAGAATACTGAAAACAAACCTACAGGAGAATTTGCTCAGGAAATCATAACTATAATCCATCAAGTTAAAGGTTGGTATATTTTGCACATGCATTAGGGATAACAAAAATAATGTACTGACTTTTCACAAGATATAGGTAAATATCTGTGATATTGTAATAATAATTAATATTTCATTATAAGTTATATCATTAATTAGGAAATCTGTTGACAAGAGTAGCACATATTAATTCAAGTCTAGTTGTTCTTTATATGTAGTTCTCGTAACTTGGTGCTTCAATTCATAATAAATTAGAAATTGAAAGTTATGAAGAAAGATGTTGGCTGCTGCAAAAGACAGGTACTGAGAACAGAAAGAAACAGTAACTGATAATGGAATAGGAAGGAGGAAGCAACAAAAGCAGATATGAAAGTCAAGAAATCTGGAAGTATATAGGTCATATGGTCATATTCTTAAAGCCCCTGAGGGCATTACTGGGACTTTGTGCCATAAGGGTGATGCTAAGTGGTCAATAAAAGAGTCCATTTCGATTTGTTGTACTTTATGACATCAGGGAGTCGCATAATAAACATTTTAAAGATTTACATTGACTTGTTGTATTTTGTTTTTGCTTCTGGCCAATTTCCATTAATTGGAAAATTCAATCATGTAAAATAACTCATTGATGTTGCATAAATAAGGCAATTGTGGGTATTATAAACAGGAGACTTTTGAGAATTTCAGATTTTTAATTTTATATTTCTTACTAGATAATTGTGTTAATCTTTTTACCTTCATAAAGTATTTTTTGAAAATAAATTATTTTCTCTGCATACCTCAAACTAAGGCATATATTTCCTTTAAAGCATGCAGTTTGTCTGAAACAGTTCACCTTCTCAATTCCAGCCCCTCTTACCAAAGGAAGTGTGATTCTTGGCAGAAAGGGAGCTGGTATTGCAGAAAAACCTAGGAGATGGTCCCAGAACAGGAACAGTAAGTTAGGGAAAAGGATTGCTTAAGTAGCATTCTGATGGGTCAAGTATGTTGTCTTTCTCTTAATTCTCTTAAAAGCCTGTAGCATAATCACTTTCAGAATGTCTTCATGAACCTCAGTTAATGTTAATTAAAATAAAATAGCATTAGGAGACCTTCTGTGATATGTAAGCATAACATTTAGCATTTGTTCAGAATTGTTTTGATGTTTTAGGGTTGCTTTTGGAGTTATTTTTTACTCTAGGTGAACTATAGAGCTCTGTACCATCTTTACTTCCCAGATATAGTAAGATCTTACCTTGGAGAAGAAAGATCCTCACTTTGAGAGAGCCACTATCTTTCCCCTGGCAAGTAAGCAGGCATGTCAAATAGGACCAGAATCCTTGGGTTCATAAATCCATTTGCTATTGTTTGGGCTTGGGAAAGCATGTGAGCACTGCAAATTAGTCTATGGAATAAATTTAGGTCCTATATATTTTCAAGAGAATACAGGTTGGATATTTTTAATAGTCCCTTCTTCCTGTGCTTATTATAGATAATCTTTTAAGTGGAATCGGTTTTACACTAAGACTATTTGTTTCCTTTTTCAGCAAATTATTTTCCATCAGCCGAAATTACCCTACATGAGCGTTTCTCAAAAATGAGAGATACACATGCTGCAGATGTAAATGAAATGAAATTGAATTCAGATCCAGAAATTCACAGGTAATGATTGATTATTGTATGCCTGTTTAACTTATAGGAATAAGCCTCAGAACAGATATGGGAAGGTGCTGCCTGCTTCTTGGGCTTCCTTTAGCCTCTAGAACTGCATTTCCTGCCTAAAAACAGGGCTACCCAAGCAGGTACTGGGCCAGTGCACTTTGATAGACTAGGTTGTATTGACGCCGTGACTAGCATTGTTTAAATGTATAGGATTTTGAAAATATTTACCTTCCTAACTTTGATTCTGCTGTGTCTATAGTAATTGCCTACTGAAGTTATCACTGGAAGAATTGACAGTTGTCGAGCCATTGAAATCATGGGTTGCTTCATGTGGTCAGAAATGGCTGTTATGAGGGCAGCTGGATGAAAATATGTGTCTTCTACTGGCACCTGTCCAAGCAGGTGGTGTGCCCTATCTTGTGAGCTGAGTTGAATCAATGTTAGAATGCAGTAGATCACGGGAGTCAAGTTTAAGTTTACACAGACTAGTGATTTGAGAACCAGTAAGGCTTCACTGTGATGTTGTTTACAGGATATGTATGTCCTGAGAGACTGCCATATGTATGAAAAACAAGTTTATTTTGCTTCCTCCAAGACACTCCAGCCTTATTTCAAATTCCATTCTGCAGTAATAGAATCGAGGTACCAGTGTATTAACATAATTGTTTAATTGTAATATGCCTTTATTATTTTAGGAGAATAGATATGTCTTTGGCCGACCTTCAGAGTAAACAAACTATGGTATATGACTCAGAACAGGTAAGTGAATAGAATTTTTCATGAGAGATTATCTTATTGTTGGTATACTAATGAGAAAGGGAACTGGTGATTGGGAGTGAAAAAAAAATAGTTAAAGTAGATGAAGAATGAGACCCAGGAACCTGAAATTTACAAAGCTGTCCAAGTGACACTAGTTTTTAATCAGGTTGCAGAGAGAACACTGGCAAAAGACAAAAATATTCCCTAAGGGAGACAGTCCTCAAGGGCAACAGCTTTGTAAAATTGACACAAAATTACAGTGTTTAGTATTCATTCCAAAACTTCACACTGTGAAGCTTGCAGAAACTGTTTCATACCTGTTTTTTTTCCTTAAGCAGTCATGTGGTATATATTTTTAAGTTGTATGTGGAATGAATGCAAAGGAACTTAGTTTCATTTGATATTGCCCTTCTGTTTACTGAAGAGTGTATGAAAGAGTCTATGGAGTATGAACTAGCAAAATAATGGAAATAATACTGAATTTTTTCATTGCCCCCCCCCATTTCCCCCATTTGTTTGCTAATTAGAAAAAAGATCTTAACTAGCCGGGGGGAAGAAAACTAGAACTTGTTTCAGAAAAAGTATATCAAGTTCCAAAAGAACTGCTAATTTATTCATTGAGAATGAAGAGTTTTTGTAGAGGAGAGATTTTAATACATTTGTGATAGAATATACAAATAATTTTTTTCACTTGTTAATGGTTATCGTTTTTAAAGAACTTACAGAGATAGTTTATTGAATAAGTGATATTTTCAGAAATTTCTACTCATCAAAGTACTATAATAAACTTATAGGAAATCTGGGGATTTAAAAAAAAAATCACCTCTAGTTCAGCCATTTAACACAAAATGTTATTTGTCTTTTCTTGCAGTCTTATACTTGGCCCTGTAACATAGTCGCTATCATAGTATATGCAGTTTTGGATGTTTTTTCTTTGTACTTAAATTATAATAACATTCCTTTTATGTAAATCTCTGAATTTCCAATGACCTTTTATAATTGAGGCTTTTTAAGTTTTAATTAACTTTTTTCGATAAATGTTTTTCCATGTTTATTTGCACATAGTCTATATTATCATAATTTAAATGCTTGTACATTATTCCTATGACTTAAATTTACCATAAAATTATTCTTCCCTTCCCCTTTAAATTTTTTTAACACTTGCTACTTTCATTGTTTTGTTATTTTTTAAATATAACATTTTAAATATGCTTGGGTAAATAGCCTTTTCTTTGGTATAGAGTTTCAGAAGTGGGTTTCCTGGTTCAATATTAAGAACTTTTCTGACTGTGTATTGTCAATTGTGTTTCAAAATATTTTTATCAGTTTACATTACCATTAGCAGAATGAGTACAAGATAACTTATTTGGGACTTTTACTTAAGGTTCTTGTTAGATATGGTCTTTGTGCAACTAACAGTAATGTGAATGGTTTGTCTTCTGTCAAAATTCCCCAGACTCTGGTCAAAATAATAGACCCAAATGACCTACGACATGACATTGAAAGAAGGAGAAAAGAACGGTTACAGAATGAAGATGAGCACATTTTTCACATAGCTAGTGCTACAGAGAGGTAATCAGTAGATGAAAAACATCCTGTTATCAGAGAGCTTTTGGTTTTAGCATATTTTCCAATTTTTTGTATGTGATGATAATTTTCACTTTAGTTTAGGGATTTAATCTTTCAAATCCATTTTATATGTTTAAGTGAAATCTATTAAAATGTTTCAGTTATTCAGTGATCATCATATGCTGTTTGATGGAAACAACAAAAATTATGGGGTAGGTGAGTATTTCAGGTCTTTGTAATCTAGAGAGAAGTGTAACAGCTGTTTGAATATTAACAGGAGCCAAGACCAGCAAATTGATGGACTATTTGGCTCAAACTGACTGAAACTCTGACACATTCTGCCCTTAGATTCTGGTATTCTTTGAATATAGCAAAATTTCCTGAGTTTAGTGCCATTCTCTTTCAGAACTCTTCATGGGTGTTTGCCCATGAAACAGAGGCAGGCATAGTTAAAAAAAAAAAAGTGCAGAGGAGACCTGAGTTTGAATCCTACCTCTGCCAGTTTACAGGCAGCATGCTCTTGGGCAAACTTGTTTAGTTTCTAGAGACTTTTCCTCTATAAAATGAGAATAACCAATTTATGATTGAGAGGTTAAAAATAGTAAGTGAACTGGCACATATGAAGTACTTATGCCATGTATGGCAAATTGATTGTCAATAGATCGTTGTTTTTCTTTCCAAATCCTGTACCTCCTTTTAGGGTCTCTGAGTATTCTAGATTGGTCCCAGTTCACATCTGAGAGCTATGTGGAACTCATGGCAACTCTGGGACCCCATAAGATTATGAGATATAATTGAATAAGAGAAAATTTCCAGTTCACCTGAGGGTCCTCAGACTATTTGGATCTCCCAGAAGGTGGGAATATATGAATAGGAAGGGTCAGTGCTAATTCTCTATCCATAGTCCTTAGTTTAAAATGCCAAGATATTTGACTAGACTTTTAAGTCATGTCTGTGGCTAATGAGGTCAAGATATATGGAGCTTGTTTAAAACTGGACTTGATTCTGACAGTAAGTTTGGGACTAATTAAAAGATAGCAAAACTGTGTGTTGAGGCATATAAAACAATTGAAAATAAGATAGTTAAAATCTTGTCCCTCGGTGGGTGAAATATGACATGGCATTTTTGTGCTCTTTAGTGACACAAGCTCTCTGTCATGCTTTTCTTGACTCAGCAAGTGTAAGAAACTCAGTGTACCAAGAAAGAGGGGTTTTAAAGCTAGTTTAATCAGCATATTATAAAGACCATGTAAGGTTCAGAATATATCTTCACCCTTTGAGGTGATGAAGAGCTTGAGCAGTGGAGTGACACCTGAGTTCACTGCCTGGATCTGTAGACACCTAGCTATGTGACTGACCTTGGGCAAGTTACTTAATCTGTTTCTCAGCTATAAAGTAGAGATTAGAATTATATTTACCTCACGATGGAGGTGAGGATTAGCTAAGGTGGTGCATATATGGAACAGAGTAGCTGGTCAGTGTTAAGTGTTATTAATGTTAGCTTTGAGGATGGTGGTGTAACGTGCATCTTCATGCCAGGTGTTTTTTGCTGGGCTTTATTTGTAGTAGATGGTTAATGTGGCATGGTAGAGCCATGATGATTTTTTTTTCAGGGTTAATAGTTTTTGATATATAAAGAGCTCTTAGGTGAAAATAGGAATAAAATATGAATAAATAATTCACAAAAGAAAAATTATAATCATTGTCATTATATGTTCAATCTCACTGATAATCAAAAAGATGTATACTAAAAGTAATGTAGAATCAGAGGCCATGATGATTTTTTAATTGATATATTACTTACCATAAAATTCACCTTTTGAAAGTGAACAATTCAGTAGTTTTTAGTATAATCACAAAGTTGTGCAACTGTCACCACTGTCTGATTCCAGAACATTTTCATCACCCCAGAAAGAAATCCTGTACAAGTAGTTGTCACTCCCTATTTTTCCCTCCTCCCAGCCCCTGGCATCCCCTAAATCTACTTTCTATCAGTATGAATTTGCCTATTCTTGACATATAAGTGCAGTCATAATATGTGATCTTGTGGCTGGCTTCTTTCAGGTAGCATAATGTTTTTAATGTCTTCTGTGTTGTAGCTTGAATATTCCTTTTTATGGCAGAGTAATATTCCATTGTATGGATATGCCACATTTTGTTTATCCATTCACTAGTTGACAGATATTTGGGATGTGTCTACTTTTTGGCTAGTGTGAATAATGGTACTGTGAACATTTGTATGCAAGTTTTTGTATGGACATATGTTTTCACTTCTGTATACACCTAGAATTGGAACTGCTGGTTCATGTGATGACTATGTTTCACTTTTTGATGAACTGCCAGGCTGTTTCCACAGTGAGTGCCCCATTTCATATTCCCACTAGCAGTGTGTGAGGGTTCCAGTTTCAATGCATCTTCACCAGCACTTGTTATTATTCATCCTTTAAAAAAGTGATATAGAACCTTTAATCTTGCACTTTTATCCTAATTCGATTTCCTTGTTAACATAAAAACATTTTATTTTATCCTTTTCTCTTAAAAATTCAGTTTATCAAAATTGACCTCATTAATATTTTTTGCATAAACCTTGTTAATCAAGTCATCATATAGATTTCCATAGAAATTCAGAAGAGATAAAATCATCAATCATAGGATGTAGCTATTTCCCACCTGTGTGATTTCTTTTTCTTCCCTTAAAAGTTGTGTGTAGTCTCTGCATTTGTGTTTGCTCATCATTGTACCCCCACTGCCCTGGGCTCAGTTTATAGTTGTTGAGTGAATGAAGACGTTCCAGTGGTGTAGACGGACAGAAGAGACTGAAATTGTAATGCATTTAGATCTGGATCACTTTTTATTCCCTGATACCTTAGAATCCTTCCCAAGCAAGCCTCACACCTAGGGCATTTTGTCTTATCTGCAAGATTCTGTTCTCTATTTTTTCCCACTTCTGACCAACCTCTTACTGTAAAGTCTCCACGTCTTCTCCTGACATACTATTTCTCCCTCTTGTCACCATCCCTACAGTGTTATTGAGGTGCTGTGTTGTACAGGCATGGTGTGTAAGGTAAAGCAGCCTTAAGAGGACATCAAACTGCCTGGATTTTCTTTTTAGCTAGGCGGGTTATAGAAAACATCAGTTTTCATTTTTGCTGTTGTAACAGTCTATATACTGAACTAGTTCACTTTATAAAGACATTTTATTCATATATTCAACGAATATTTATAAATGTCTATGTCTAATCAGTGTTCTAAGCACTTGGGATCCAGTGGAAAAGCACACACAGAGCCCTGATCCTCGTGGGGCTTACAATTTAATGGTAGGAGAAAGAAAAAGAAACGAATACAAGTCGGTGAGTGATAGGTGAAAAATGAGGCAGAAGAGGAAGTTTAACACATTAATATGTGTGGTGTGATTTTATTTAGGATAGTTATGGAATGGTCTTATGATTTCTTGAAAAAATTGAGCAGGGATGTGAATTAAGTGAGGGCATTAGCCATGGGATAGTATTTCAAGAGAGGGAACAGCAGATGGAAAGATCCTGAGGCAGGATCACGCTTGCTCTTGTTTAAGGAATAGAAAAGGAGCCAGTGAGGTTATAGCAATGAAGAAGGGACAAAGTTAGTTGGTGTGGCCAAATCTTGAAGGGCCCTGAAGGACATGAAGATTTTGTAATTTACTCTGAGTGAGATTAGAAAACATTTTGGATTCTAACCCAAGAGGAGACATAATCTCATTTGAATTTTGAAAGGATTACTGTAGTTGCTGGATGGAGAATGGACTATAAGAGCTAGAGAAAAAATGATTTCTTTCTCATGTGAAAAAAGATTAGAGGCAGGAAGTCATGCATGGTAGGGCAGACACATCAGAGAACTGGGCTCCTTACTAGATCTTGTTCCTCACATATGCTCTGCACATGGAGTCTTCCTCCAGGATGGGCGCTTGTGCCCTAACCACCATGTCCACATTTTAGCCTTTTCTTTAAAGACTTCCTGGAATTAACACATGATGCTTCAGCAACGTTGGTCAAAATTTAGTCTCATGGCCATGCCTAGCTGCAGGGAGGCTGGGAAATAGATTCTTTAACTTGAACACTCAAAAGGTTTACTTTTTTTTACTGTGGTAAATTATACATATCATAAATTTTACCATTTTTACCATGTTAAGTGTGCAACTCATTGGCATTAAGTACATTCACTGTGTTGTGCAACTATCACCACTACCTACCTCCAGAATTTTTTCATCTTCCCAAATAGAAATTCAGTGCCAACTAAGCAGTAACTCCCCATCCCCTCACCCCTAACCCCTGATAGCCTCTATTCTTTCCATCTATGAAGTTGCCTATTCTTCATAAATAAGTAGAATCATGCAATAATTGTCCTTTTGTGTCTGACTTACTTCACTTGGCATGTTTTCATCCATGTTGTATCATGTGTCAGTATTCTATTAAAATGACTTATTCTTTTATAAGTCTGAATAATTTTCGCTATATGGCTATACCACAGTTTGTTTATCCACTTTTCTGTTGCTGGGCATGTGGGTTGTTTCTGTCTTTTGGCTACTGTGAATAATGCTGTTATGAACATTGGCGTCATCATTTTGATTATAGCCATCCTATCGGGTTGTAAGTAGTATCTTGGCAGTTTCAATTTGCATTTCCCTAATGACTAATGATGTTGAGCATCTTTTCATGTGCTTTTTGTGTGTCTTCTTTGGAGAAATACCTGTTCAAATCCTTTGCCCATTTTTAAATTGGTTTGTTATCTTTCTATTATTGAGGTGTAAGAGTTCTTTGTATATTCTGGATGTCACTTCTTCATCAGATATATGCTTTGCAAAGAGGATTTTGTAGTCTGTTGTTTTGTTTATAGAAGTAGTAGTACACGCTATTGGTGAATATTTGAAAAAATATAGTAAATTATAAAAACAAAAATATAAGACATTCTTAATTTCACCAGTCAGGGATGATTATTGTTACTATTTAGTACATTTCCTATCATTTGTTTTTTCATGGGCATATTATATATATATATTATATGTAAGTGAAACTATCCTCAGTTATGACTTTGCCCCATACTCTTTTGACTTACTATCATATCAGAGCATTTTGAGAGAACATGGGGGATTTTAACATTTCAAAAAATCCTGGGTGGCTATTGCATGTCAGGTTCTGGGTTCAGAGCTGAGACCACAGAACGAACCACAGTGCCCCCTCTGAAGGGACTGCAGCTTGTTTGGTGAGACAGGGGTTTGTAACCAGCATTTATGAACATGAGTGGTACATGTGAAGACCCCCAAATGCTACACATGCACACAGGAATGGTACCTAGTCCACCTCTGAGGGGTCTGGAAAAGCCTTCTTGGAATAGGTGAAAATGGGGCTAAATCTTGAGGTTGATCTAAGTCGGAAGGAAATTACAGCAGAAGGAACTGCATGGGCAAACGTGTGGAAGCAGGAGAGATTGTGGTGTGTGCCGGGAACCACACAGAGCTGAATGTTCCCACAGCTCAGCGTGAGTGTTGGGGAGATTGGAATGAAGCAGCCAGGTGAGGCAGTAAGTGCGAGAGCAGGAAGGCCCTTGGGGTCAATGATGAGGAGTGTGGATTTTGTTCCCATGTCAGTGGGGGTCCTGTGGGAGGGGCTGCAGCAGGGCCGAGGCAGGGAGCCGCTGGTTCACCACGGAGCAGGAAGGGTCTGAGGAGCACTGTGGGCGATGTGGTTGTGACAGGGAGAGGACTTCCCAAGGGCTGTGGAAATGAGGCCCAAGGAAGGACCTCCCTCCCAGGTAGGGGTGCCTGGGAATAGCCCTTGGTGGCTTCCAGACCTCACTAGGACAGAAGAGGGGAGCTGTCCTTTGCTGCTGTGACCCAGCAGTATTCAAGGCCCCTGCCAGTGAGCAGGCCTGAGCTGGTCACACACCTCTCTGGAGCTTTCACCAGTGAGTCTGTTGGCAGGGGGAGCTGTCCAGTGCTGCCAAAGGCTCAAGAGTAGTGATTATCTTCCCTCAGAAAGGATATGCTTTACATATGGTTTCTGGGATTACAGCCCTAGGAATCCTGTCCTTGAAGGACCCCATATTGAGATCCCTGATCCTAGGAATATGGTTTTCCCCCTATTGCTAACTTCCAACTTTGCTAAATAATGTTTGTTGAAAACTTAAGGTTTTAGCCATGATAACTATTATTTGTAATTTTAGTAGTGATAGATCGTTGAGGGTTTTTTTGTGTGTAGTTTTTTTTTTTACTGTCGTGCTGCTTTAATTGTCTCTAAAGGGTATAATTTCATTTCTGTTGTTAATTTTTTGAATGAACATAAACTAATAAAAGATTCTTATTTTCTCTCTTTCATTTTATTAGGAATGATCAGCATTCTAATTTTACAAGATTGAAAAATACTCATGTTGATGGATTCCAAAAACCTACATGTTTTGTAAAATCAAATTTTAGAAAATTTATTCAAAAACCTTACTTGGTAAGATTGCAGTTCCAAATTTTTAAATTTTTGTACATGCCATTTTCCTTCTCAAATATATCTATATATACAGGGATCACCAATATTTTTCATTGTGTTTAGAACTGTTCGTTAAGTGAGTGTTACGATTCTTTTGTTCAGTGCTAAGGTTCTGTTGTTATTATGACAAAAAAATGATCATCTTATTTGATATAGCAGGATTTTATTGCATTTATTATAGTACTAGCTTTCTTTACTTAAGTTTTTTTGGAATAACTTTATTAAGGTATAATTTAAATACCATAAAATTCACCATGTTAGGTGTACAATTTAATGATTTTTTGTAAATTTACCAGGATGTGTAGCCATAACCATAATCCAGTTTTAGAACATTTTCATGACCCCAGTAAGAGCCCTCAGGCCTGTTTGATTATTTCCTGTTCCCATTCCCAGCTAACAACTAATCTACTTTCTGTTTGTAAAGATTTGCCTTTTCATAGCGCAGGTCACAAAACAGCAGCTGGCTTCCATAAGAGCAAGCAAGTGATGGCTAGGAAGATGGAAGCCAGAGTCTGTTTGTAACGTCATCTCAGAAGTGATATCCTACCACTTTGACCAAATCCCATTTGTAAGGAGCACATCGCTAGATACAGGCTACACTCAAGGGCAGGAAATAACATAAGGGCCTGGATACTAGAAGGTGGGGATGATTGGGAGCCTGGTCAGAAGCTGCCTGGTATAGTTTTCCCACTGGCTCTCAATGGTTCACATCCCTTCATGTGCAAAATACACTCCTTCCCTCTCAAGGACCCCCAAAGTCTCATCTCATTATGTGTGTCCTTATGCATTTATTCAAATGTATAGACTTAGCATAAATTCAAAATGACTACTAGGAAAGGGGTTTTATATGACTTTTCTTAAACTGGGGCAAGAAATAAAGGTGAGAAAGTAGATTTGTGAGAAGCACAGACTCCATAGCAAATGGAGTAAATAGAAGGTTATAAGACTATTGATTTTGGAAAGAGAAACTCTTCAGAATGGGCCCCATCATTTCTGTTGCCATCAAAAGATTTGGATTTTTTGTAGTTATAGTCTTAATATTCTGACTTTTGATAAAGTCATGGCAGGAGCATCTACTCAAATCAGTTATCTGAGTCAGCAAAACCTGTCTCCTGCAGCATTGAGAATTTGTGTTCTCAGACAGTGGGAACTCGTTAGTGACTCCTAATAATAATGGGTTTGTTTCTCTTCTGGATGCCTGAATGAATACTAGATTTACAGTCCATTTTCTGACACTCGCCCATTGTGTTATACAGGAGTATTTATTTTGTTAAACTTCTCACATTCCTGAGTTAAAGTAGCCCCTCACAAACTAACATGGGTTACATGAAGAAAGATGTGTGTATGTTTGTACAGCTAAGCTACATGCTACATGTTTTGTGTCCTTAATCCCGTGCATTTAAAATGTATGTTTATTGAATGGTAAAATGAACTTCTAAAAATAAAACTGAAAGCATATTAACCCATTCTAATACTTTTTTCATGCAGAATTATCATACTATGCAGAGAAAAGACATCATTACTCACAAACCATTTAGAGATGAGGAAAACCATCAAAACCCAGGAGGCTTTAGAAGACCTTTTAAGGTATTGAGTGTTATCTTCCATTTAATTCCAGCTTTGGTTTTATACTTCAAACATGATGTTCTAAGTGTTTGTAAATTAAAAGCTATTTTTGTGATATTTCAAATTATAGTTATAAATTAGTATTTCTGGACATTTGTAGTTCACTGTAATCAGTTTAATGCTGACCCCTTTCCTCAGGACATGATTTTTAAATATTTTTTACCAGTGGAACTTCTTTTCAGATATCACATGGAAACTCAAATACATGAAACAGATCCAGATGGAGTGGCTCTAGGTGGGGAGGCAGGCAAAGTCCCAGATTCTCCCTTTAAGCCTGCCCCTTTACCTCTAAGAAATAAGCACATAGTTTTAAAGCCTTCTCCAGGATTCACTGATTGAAAAACCCAGCCCATAGACACACAACTGTCAGAGGCCTTCTGGGTCATCAGAGGAAGATTCTGGTCCAATAAGCTTTGTTAAAGCATATGTCATCACATTATGATTATTTGTACAGCTTTATCTCACGTCAGTGATACTTTTAATCAACCAACATGTTTGATTATCCAGAACACTTCATCCTTCAAACATATGGAATGGGAATTACAGTGCAAAGTGTTGTATTTCTCTCTCCTTGCTCTCAGAAGTTGAGGTGCTTTTAAATCCATCTTGACTGAATTTCCTGCTTATGATAGGTCCTTTTATCGTATTTTTCCACTCTGTGGTGTCTCTTTCCTCTTTCCCCAAGAGGAAAGAATCTGAGCATTTTTTGGTGAAAGTTGCAGGCAAGGTGGCTAGAATAGTTAGCTCATTAGGAGGAAGTTAGTATGAGCAGAAAGGTAGTATGAACGATCTCCAAACCATAGACTTGGAGGGTACTTGATTGATTCTTTTAATACTTTGCCTTCTTGAGAGTCAAAATTTCTAGATGTCGAAAGATTTTTTTCATTAGGTTTAACATAATTTGTAGCCATTGCATAGATAACATTTTTAGCCAATGGTTCCTGTACCTAACAGTGTTAGGTTTTCATTAGGTTTTTTTAAAAAGCTACAGCATAGAATATATAAACATGTTTTATACCATCTTTTAATCCCTTAAGTAATGAGGCATAAAATCAACTAAAAATGTAATGTCTGTGTAACTTAGAGACAGTGTAGGTGGGCTTCAGATTTAAGTGTTTCCTACATGTTGCTCTTCCCATTAGTCAGATATAGTCGATTGTAGTATTTTTTCTAAGACTGTTAAAAGATCTATTTCCTGTTACCCTTTCTCCTTAAGGGAAAGTTCTTTAACATTAAATTATTTTAAAAATGTTTTTCAAAATACATGCAATAATCTTTCATCTTGACCAGTCATTTAAAGCTGTGTAATGTTATATGGTTGTTTAAAAATTCACAATTCTTTATAGTACAATAGGAGGAAGAAATAATCCTTCCTAAGAAAAGGAGCTATTTTATTAAAATTTACTTTTTACATGGATTGGACTAATTCAAAGCCAGGTACTAATCACCTGATTAGATATGTAAAAATGGACAATGTAAATCTCAAGATTAGCTCTGATGTATCAAATTTGTACAGATAATTTTAACAAAATTATAGTGTCTCATTATAATTCTGTTTTACCTGAAATTTCTTTGTAGCTTTAAGAAAATAATTGGAAAATAGGCCTGGCATAAATACTTTTTTTATAAACTTAGGTGCTTCATTTTGCATAGCGTACCCATTCGTTAAATAATTGTGGAAAGAGGTATCTACTTAGTTTTTATAATTATTCCTTTGTAGTATACAATTTATACACTTCCCACATGGGACACACAAATATTCATTGTCCTCTTATGGATACTGTAATACTGGGCAGTATGCAGGCCAGGAAATGTCTTTTTAAGTATAGCTCTTATCTTGAAAATATTTGCTATAATGGGGTTTTTATGGTAAAGAAACAGTGACTTAAATGTACGGACAAGAACAAAGTTAAGGGAGTTTTTTATTCTTAAATAGATATTGATATTTAATGTCTTCCCCTGCCCTTTTGGGATTTGATATACTTCACTAGGAATCAGAAGGCTAATTTTAGCTCATTAGAGGTTTTTAAAAGTTGTACTTGTCTTAGCGTGTTAAATTTCAAGAGCTTCAATTTTTTTTTAACTTGACAGTTTTAAAAATTCATTTTATGTAAAATACTTTAAAATTTATTATTATAAAATAAACTAGGTAGCTGGTTTGAAGAAAACGTACTTTATTACCATCATTAACTTTTTCCCTTTAAATATAGAATTAAGGGCAGCTCTAAGTTCCAGACATTTTTTCCATTTCTTATACTAATAAAGTAGGTTTGGAAGCTGTAGTTTTAACATTTAATTATTTTTCCCTTTACAGACCAACTTTAGAGGTGGCAGATTTCAGCCCCAATATAAATCAGGCCTAGTACAGAAGAGCTTGTACATTCAGGCTAAATATCAGCGTCTGCGGTTCGCTGGTCCAAGGGGATTTATCACTAATAAATTCAGAGAAAGATTACTGAGGAAAAAAAAGGTTAGTTGGATTATGATCATTTAAAAAATGTTGAGTGACTTTTGAACTCCTAAAGTATCCATGTTTAATAGAAAAATTGGGTTTTTCATTTAATTTTGACTTAACCTAGATTTCAGTGTTCTTATTGCATGATAGTTGAGCAAAAATTTAAAGGAGCAATGGTAATAGAGTTGTGAGACTGTTTAATCTTAAAATGACTTAGCTAGTATGCCTTGAATACTTTAAATATGCCTGATGTTTGAACTTTTTACTTTAGAATTTCTGTTGTATGGTTAATCTTTGAAATGAAAATTCAGGTAAAGACTTTTAGGTGATTTATTTTAGCCTTATTACAATGTGAATTATCTAGGTACCAAAAAATATTGAACTGACTAAATAAAAAAGGGTACATAATTGCAAAATACACTAACTTTTCTTTTCCCCCCATTGATTTATATTTTTTAATTGTAATAAAATATATGTGAAATAAAATTTGCCATTTTAACCATCTTTATACAATTCACTGGCATTAGTTACATTCACAATGCTGTGCAACCATCACCACTATATTGCTAACTTTCAATATTAATAAAAAATTTCATTACTTGATCATTTGAATTGCATACTCTTTTAGTTGTGGATTGATTTTATTTAAATTTGCCGTGTTGATATTTGAAAATGCAGCATAAATATGATATAAAATTAACTTCTACAAATATATATTTTAAATGAGAACAGAAGCGTTACATCTGTTAAGTGAGGCATGTTTGTCAACTACTGACTCATTTTTGTTAATAAATTTGGACTATTATTTTCTTCTGAGAAAAAGATGTATATCTAATGTTGCTATCAAATCATCCAACTGATTTTATAAATTTTCTCACCTTCCATGTTTCCATAAATATTCTTGCTTGTGAAGCCTTTACACTAAGCTTATTTAGTGATTTTAGTGAAACTTATTTTTTAAAAGATGGACCAATAGAATGGAGTTGACAACTGATTTTTTTTTTGAAGTTTTAAGGTTGAATAGAATATTTTCTGCAACCTCTCCCATCCCCCAGTTTTAACTGAGTGACCTAGGAGAGGTTTCCAATTTCACTGTTATGAGAGCTCTCTCTTCTTCAAAAACGTGAGTGTAATTGGAGTCATGGTCCCCTCTCATACCCCTCCCTACCATTGGATCAAGGTGCTGCTTCTCTTTCTGCCTCATGTGGCTAGTTTCTTTGCAGCAGATCTTCTAGGCTTTTGTCCCCAATCACAGATGGCAGCCTGGCTGTTCCCAGGGAAGCTAGTCATTGATAGTCAGGAGGAAGGCTGAGGCAAGCCTTTTCCTCAGTTGCAAGGTTGGGTTTCAGGTACACGTTGTGTGTTTCTCTTCTGTTAGCTCTGGGCTGACCTTTGAGTATTAGCTTCAGTTAACTCCATTTTATCTCTTTTTTAGATGATTTGGGGCTCCTGAGTTCTTACTTGACTGTCTGCCTCTGCCTGCAGTTTCTATATGCTCATTGAACTTGCTCCATTTCATCATCCTTTCCTTTGGCCCACCTTGCCCAGTTCCTGCTGACCACCCAGTTCTTCCAGACCACGTTGCCTACCAGCCTCACTTAACAGCATGTAGAAACAAGACATCAAGCCTTCATCTTAGGGTAACAAGTGTGTCCTAGAAAGAGCCACAACCTGCTTTGGATCTCCAATCGTTAGGGCCTAGGCTTTTTGTATCATCTAGAATGTACCTCTTACAGTTAGGGTCCCGGGTAGAACATAGTCTCACCTTCCTGTTGCCTTTCACTGCCAACTGAGTGCTTTAGAATTCATCCCCACACACTAGATTTTTAAAAAATTAATGTCTAATAGTCTTTTTCTTGAGCCTACCATTCTGAATGCTACTTTATATATGTTTGTGTTGTAGCTACTATGACATGAGCTTTTCCAGCCTGGGTACTGTCAGTGCCTGCAAGCAAGCAATAGCCATAAGGCTTTGTATAGATTTGTTTTTGAACCAGGCCCACCTCTCCAAACATGGCATGAAATCAGATACCATAGTATTAGCGCCCTTCTTAACAGCTGGGCTCCACACTCCCCTAACCTTTAGGGAAGGGAATGAAGCATTGCAGCTGTTCTATTTCTGCCAAAGTCTGAACTAAGGTACTTAAGGCTTACTTGACATCAGAGCCGTTCCAGGACTGCTGTGCTACTCCAGAACCCCATTCCATATGTACAGACCGACAGTTTAGACCTGTTGCTCCATTTTACCTTGATTTTCATGTCCTAAAGAAAAAAGGTGAAAGCCTGAGTCTTTGGTTTCTTCCAGCGTTGCTTCATCCCAAGCTTTAGCATTGGAGGGAACGTTGGCGGTCCTGCCCTGGAGAGAAACCTTAGTCTGAGCAGCATCTGTACACTGCTTTGGCTTTTTGCCCTACTAGGGAGTTCATTGTTTTCAATTATTAGATCACCAGCTGGATTAATTAAGGATGCATGCTTAATTAATCTAGGTGCCCTGGAACTTCTTGAACCTGAAATTAGATATGAACCTATGTATCCCCACATTCCTCAAAGACCAACAGGAAGATTTAGATTGATCTTGTCTGGACTTCTCACTCCCCCACCATATTGAAATGTCTGGACTGATCATTTATGGCTTGAAGTTCTTGTGATGCTCATCTGGTGTACAGTCTGGTTACTGTGCCATCAGATATGGGCTGCTTGTTTCCAACACCAAACAGCCTCAGGGAAGGGTTGGGGAGATCCTATTTATGCTCATAATATGTCCTCTTGTTCACTTACCAGAACATTTGTGGCTTCCCTAAAACTGCATTGGCTCCCCAGCTGCCTCCCAAGTAGTAAGATTCCCAAGCAGTATTAGGAAAGTACAGAACCAAAATTCTTCCTCCTCATTCATCTTGGACTTGTCATATTAATCCCATTCTGGCACCTAGATTTCATTTTATTATGTTTCCTTTCTCTTGGATTCTGTGCTTGGGCTGGAAGATGAGGGGTTGGGAGAAATGTCTATTACTTCCTGGAATAAGGCTTGTCATTTATCGACTGTCATTCACAAGTGCCCCCATTAAGTATTCTCTGCCCATCATAGAAAGTTTTAGAAACTCTTGAGGGTCTATGATAAGATTAGAACAAAGAACCTAGTCAGAATTCATGAAGCGCCCTCTGGGAATGTTGCCTCTGAAAATCTCTTGGCAGTTGTGCATTTGGTCAGGAAAACATGGAGTTTTCAGCGTCATAGATACTCCAGCAGCCTTAGGTGCCTGTAAGCTAGGTGCCTACCAGACCTCTGCCCATGGATGGAAAGAGGGGGAAGGACAGAGCATAAAGACACTGCAGGGAGGAAGTTAAAGACTGGGATTCATGGCTTTGGGGGTTGAAAAAAACCTTGAAAGTCATGGAGTACAAAGATAGAACAGGAGCCAAGCTCAGATGAATCAAAGGAACCTGTTGTACACCTGCTGTGTGCCTCAAGCTGAAGTATGCTGGGGCACAAAAGAAGTGATTATTGCGATGCTTGCACAGCTCTGTGGTTATGCTGAAAACCACTGAGTTACACACTTTAAATGGATGAACTGTATGGTTTGTGAATTTTATCTCAGTAAAGCTGTTAAAAATAAAATCACACTTGCTCTCCTCCCCAGACCACTGATTTCTCCTCATGGTCCATAGCTCTCCCAGCTAGCCAGCCACACTAGAAACTTGTCCGGCTAATCCTCCCAGTTCTCCTTCCAACTGTGATTGTTCTAAGTCGTCTTATTTCTATCACTCACCCATTGCTTCGTTCAGTTCATTCATTTTCATGGCTGCATATCATTCCACTCTATGGATGTATTATATATCTCAGTGCTCTTCAGACTTCTTCTGCTTACTTACCCTAACATTTTGAAAAACTTATCTACTTCCTTGCACATTTTTAGGTTGGTATCTAATATTTTTTGTAAGTTTTTCATAAAGGATATTTCTGCCATACTATAGAGGGTCTTAAATAAAACTGTTAAACATCATTCTCCTTCTTTTAAATCTCTTCACTGAACCTGCAAACCACAAGAATTTGATAACTAACATCATCTATTTTTTAAAATATGCAATTTCTTTTAACAGTGAGAAATTTTACATCATTCTTTTTTTTTTGCCTTGAATTTGGATCCTATTCTGCTTGCCCCATAGACTTTTATCTTTGAAAATCTTTTATTGACCACCAAATCAAATATAATACCTAATATTAACCTATTACTGTGAGTGTTAAGTGTTAAATATTTCCTCTGGATTGAATTAACATTACAGTTGATCAAGATAGCATATAATATATTATAGATTTTGTTAAGTATTGATTAGACAAAAATTTTATTGGAAAATGCATTTCTCTTTTCAATTAGTTCATGTATTCATAGATACATGTTACTAGCAGAATAATAGTGTTCAAGTATCCATTCTAATTGTATTTTTTCTTTTGATAGATGTAAGTCCTGAGAAATCTTGTTTATATGATTGTATAGCTGAAAATGAAAGGGCTTTTCTTACAGCGATGCCACTCGTTTCTTTGGACTCACTCTGAATTATAGGCCAAAAATCACTTAGTGATCTATCATCAAATAAATATTTTGAATGTTGTTTTACTGACAGCTTGATTTTATCCTCCTACAATTAAACAAAAGCAAAGAAATGGAAAGCTTCCGACTTGCAGAAGCATGCTATTTATTACTAGCTGCTAGGGTTGGTTCACTTTCTTGCCACAATTACTAATATTTCCAATTGTCCCCTTTTTGCGGGGAGGGGGGGCCCAGGTAATGCAAAGTACTAAGATTCAGGATGAGAAGGTGTATCTTTCTGGTTTAGAGTGAGAGGTAGGAGACCAGCCTTAACCAATTGTACAGGCAGGTTAAGTTTAGAAAGCAAACATGGAGAATTTGAAGATCTGGAAATTAATTCCCTCCAAGCTGTCTGTATCCACATACTCACTGGAAAGTCTTCATATACCTGTCAGGGTATGTGTACCCCCGTTTGATGATTGCTGACTTACTTAACCAAGCCTCTGTTGATGAAGATACTTCACAGGTTTTCATTATTTTGGTAACGCCACTGGGCACATTGACATTTTGGTACCTTGCCAGAGCTCCCTTTTTACTCATTTCTGCTCTCACCAGAAGTACATGAAAGGGCCTGTTTACACCCTAGCCAGCACTCCATATTATCAGTCTTTATTACCCGTTGTTAATCTAATAGCAGAAAATAGTTCTCACTTGCCTTTCTTCAATTATTAATGAGGTGAGCGTGTTTTTTTATATGTTATTGGCCATTTGTATTTCTTCCCTCTGTTTCCTTATTCCTATGCTTTGCCAGTGTTTCTCTTTTTCTTATTGATTTGTGAGAGCTGTTGATTTACTAAGGGTATTAACCAGTCATACATTTTGCTGCTATTTATTTTGTTTGTCAGCTGTTGATGGTGGCTTTTATATTACAGAACTTGGAAATGTCCATGAATCTGTCAAGTTTACCTTATATGGCTGTAAGATTTCACATCATGTTTATGCTTACAAAAATTCCTTACTGTGTTTCCTTTAAGCAGTTTTGTTACTGAACTCAGGTCCAGCTGCTCGCCACTTGAAAATCAGTACCCTAGAGGCAAGTGTTGGTAGAAGTGGAAAATGTTGCTTTTAATCAGAAAGCCAGCAATTTGGGGAGAAGGCCAGGATTCAGTGTCCCCAAAAGCCAACTCCCAAGGTTCTGCTCGGCCATGAAAGTTTTTAAAGGGAAAAGGGAAGTAATCTTGGTTAATCATCGAGTTGGGGGCAGAGGCGTCACCATCTGCCACTGTGTGCAGCTTGTCGACTTCTTGTGATCTTTCCTTAGATGCTGTATTGTTCACACAGTTTGTGAGATGACTGAAGGGGACGCTAGGGAGGAGATCTTAATTATTTATTCTTCATTTCTACTTCTTTGATCTACAGAAAGAACCAACAGATTAGGCAAGGCATTGTGTGATCAAAAGATTTGAAAGGTGTGCTTGGACAGGAGATGAGTAGGGCATGAGGGTGCCTGGTGTAAAGTTAGTGACAATATTGCTCTGCTCTAGTGACAAGAGAAAGGGGGCCTCCTACAGAGAGCTCTTTCCTGCCAAAAGCTGCATACAATTTTATGGTTACTTTTTTAAACATATGAATATTTGTTCTTATTTGAATTTGTTTTTATGATACAATGTGAGGTCAGGATCTAATTTTTCCCCCCGATGGACAGTCAGTTTTTCTAACACTGCTTATTGAATAGTTTGTCCTTTCCCCACTGATTGAAAATGCCACATTTACTGTATGTCACGTTCTCAGATATTCCTGGTCTGTTTTGGGAATCTTTGGAGCCTCTAACTTGCTCCCTTGTCTCCTGCGATTAGCTTAGTCTGTCGTTTCACTACTAATGCAGTGACTGTCCTGAAACACAGTCTGAATCATATCAGTTTTGTGCCAGCACCTTCCAAGGAAGATTCTGTTGCCTACAAACAAATGAGACCAGACTTGTTAGCCAGGTCCAGCACTAAGCTGCCTTTCTAATTACATGTTTCCATACAGCCTCTGCTTTTTGGAGCAAGCATGACATATGTTTTCATGTATTTCTATCTTTGTTCCTGCTATTCTCTTGGCTAGAAATAGCGTCCTGATCCCCATTCTTTCCTTATTAAACCCTTCTTTGCTTTTAAGCCCCACTGAAAAGCCTTACCAGCGCCCCTCTTTAGCTCTTGTTCCATTTGATCTCTAACTGTTGCTATTTACCTTCCTGTTTCTTCCAACAAACGATCAACTCCTTGAGGCTAGAGAGTACCTCATAAGTCTTCATGTCTTCCCCTATTGGCCTTTCATATAGTCTATCTTTAAAAATGCTTGTTGAATGGAATCAAATCTAATCTCTCCCTCTTTCTTTCACACACACACGCATACACACTCCATAGTTCTAAAAAGTCAGCGAACAGCAG